CATTTTCTACGGATCGGAATACATCTCGATTGTTTACCTTAAGGCCCCGTTCGTTTGATCAGGAATGAGCCCAGGAAGAATTTCAGGTATCTTTACTCAATTCACAAAAGCTTTCACTGGCCGGATTAATTCCTGACGTCCTAATGCCCCAACCGAATGAGCCCTAAGCTGTTGACTTCTGACAAATCAACTTCTTGTTTTGCCACAAACTTAAAGTACTGTACTCTTTTTCCAAAACTTAGGCCCCGTTTAGTTGGCTCCAAAAGCCAAAAAATTTTGCACAATAAATGTCACATCGAATCTCTTGCTGCACTTACTGATTACTAAAATCAACTAATCTTGTTTGAGAAATGCCACAAACTTTCAAACATAATTAGTCCATAATTAGACACTAATTACCAAATACAAACGAAAGTGCTACAGTAGCCAAAACCCAAAAATTTTCGGATCTAAACGCGCCCTTAAATAATCGAGATGCACTCCTGCATGCGACATACTAGCCAGGTGTCTTCTATTGATGACAAATAGAAAGGCATGCAGTACTATATTTTTGGATATCCGAAGATGCACTGCAGTAGGACAATAAAATAATGTCATAAATAAAATGTTATAAAAAATGTCATAAATAAAATATACGAGTACGGAGTATTTAGATATGAAAAAAGTTGATAGAGAAAAAAATACAAACGACCACGATGGGACTCGAACCCACAATCTCCCGCTCCGGAGGCGAGCGCCTTATCCATTAGGCCACGCGGTCTTACATGTAAGACGGTGGGTAAACTATTTTGTTATATTATATTTCCATTGCTAATGTCTTTGTCATAATGAGATGAATTGATGATGTCCTAATTGCTAAACCAGCTGGAGCACAGTTTTGTTAATCAACCTTCATTCTCCGTTCGAAAGGGCTAAGTACAGTTAAAGGCCCATACCAATTAGGCTGTCAGCTAGTCCGCTGATCCACAATGAGGCCTGTTAGAAAAAGGGGAGAAAATTGTAGGAAAAAGTCCATATTACCCCCTCAACTTTCGCAAAAGTCAATTTTTCCCCTGAACTCTAAAACCGGGTAAATCATCTCCCTCAACTTTTAAAACTGTTCATCTTAACACCATGACCCGATTATAAGCGGTTTTGAATGCGGTTTTGTCTTTTTCTTTTTTATCTGTTTCGACTGAATCTTTGAAAAATCATAGTAAATCATACAAAAATCATAAAATGGAAAATTTAATTTTTTTTGGACTCCACATGAGTAGATCTACACAATGAACATATAATATGGTATGCCTTAGTACAAAGTTTTGTTGTGGCTTTAGATTTATACTTTTCTGTAATTAATTGGAATAATTCATAGCTGCAGTTTCTATGGTCCAATTGTGATGAAATTTATACGGGTGGCTAATTATTGTATGATTGAACTGTAGTATAAATTTTATACTCATTAGATCATGTATAGCTTAGTTATAGATTTATTTATATTGCGGAAGTTGAAGAGGTAATGTTGACTTTTTTACTGTATCGCCTTGTTTTTCCGGTCCACTGCACACATTGCCGAATTCAGGCCCACCAGGCCACCAAGCCTTCACAGAACCACAGCAGTAAGCACGGAGGAGTCCGGCTCCTCCTAAGTTTCAGGTCTAGTTCTTTTTTTTAGCATGGGTCTAGTTCCTTCGGAAAAAACTTGATCCGCGGGAGAGTAATGTCCCCACCGGTTTTTCATTAAGAAGAAGATCTTCTCACATAGATCGAGAAAATTCGATCCGCGGGAGAGTGACGTTCCCACCGGTTTTTCATTAAGAAGATCTTCTCACGCATATCGTGGGAGAGTGACGTCCTCACCGATTTTTCATTAAGAAGAAGATCTTCTCACGTAGATCGTATCCCTGTGGCGTGGGTCAGACAAGGAGATTTTTTTACCCTCAGGTCTAAAATTCACCCCCGAAGGAAATCGAACTCAGGACCTAAGGGGTGCGGTAGGAAGTGTCGACCAACCGGTCTAGCTTCCGTTGGCTCTAGTTCATTCGAAGAAATAGTTTCTCTAGTAAAGATGTGAATGGAAGATGTATAATAATTTCTTCTATATTTTCTAGAGTGAATGGAAGATGTATAATTTCTAGGATATTCTGCATCACATTTGTAGAGAAGTGTTAGCGCAGAAAGTGTTATGGAACCAAATAAAAATGTCCCAAGCAAAAGGAAAAAAGATTCCAGTGTTCTAATTTTAAACTAGAGAATGTTGTTGTTTTCTCAAAAAATTTAAACATATGCATGTGTCATTATATTTTACTGCATTAGTTGCAAATAACATCACAATCAAAACGGATTTAAATCTGGGTACATATTTTTGGGGAAAAATTGATGTGAAAGTTTGAGAACGCATGCCATGTGAAACAAGGAACGAAGCCCAATATTTTCCTGCTCCTTGCTCCCAGTTCATTTTTCCGGACGGCTTCTCCTTGCTCTTTTTTTTACCGGGAAAGGTTGAGCTGTATACTAGAGATGAACAGGGTTTTATAGCCTCAACCTCAAAGGAAGCTGTTTAAATTTGTTCACTAGTTTTGGTGCGGCTCGTGGCATACCCGGAGCAGAGCCCAGCCAAAGGCGCTCTTGATTGGAATCCTGGTTCATGTTCATGTGCCTTGTCTCTGCCAGAGCGTCCCCAGAGATTTGTGGTGCAGTACTGTGGTGTTTGCTAGGTCCCCTTCCCAAGAGGTGCGTAGGATGTATCCTGTATGTGCCGCACTGCATGCATCGTCCGAGCTTAATTGCCTTGTGTGGCTTGTTGTTGCATGGCGATGCCGATCACCCCCATGTGTTTGTTGGTTGAGATCGCTTAACATGACGAAACACTAGCTATCAATATATAATATCGCAATAAGGCCACGAGATATCACAATATCTTGTGGACCTGTACTGAACGATAGGCATAGGCAGGCAGCACTGAGCAACACCAACACATGCAGATATCTTGCCTGCAGAGAACAGAGATATGTGTTGTGCTCCTGCTTTCACGGCTCGGATTGCGTCGTGGATCACCGGTCGCGTCACGGGACAGTATAACAGGAAGAACAGAACAGTTTACGTGGCTCCATCTCCATGGGCGCCATGCCTTGTACGTATCCCCGACAGAAAGCTACGGCTTTGCTGTCGCTGCTGTTAGACTGGCCACAACATGAGCTTTTGCCGGTGCTGAAAGAGGAGAGATAGTGTTTTAGCACCGATGCTGAATATTGTAGCAACTAATGTTTGGTCTAATTTTTCAGGCACCGTGGCAAGTGCGTTCACCGATGCCTGAACCAATAAAAAATTATTTCCAACCGCCCATTAGTCCTAGATGACTAAAATATTATTATCCCATGCGGCCGTTGGTCCTGGCCATTGCCTTGCATGATAGCCGTTGCGGCTTGCTGCATATATATACATATAGTTCACCAAGTATAGATCAGGCATATATCCAAATACAAAAGTTCAAAGATGGACCACTCTTCCTCTTCTAGTTTCTCAAATCTCATCAACTCACACACAGAAGCACCAAATCCAAACACACAGCAGTACCCAAACTTCCAAACCTTCAATCAGCAACAACACTACCCCATGAACTATCCACCCACCAATTTGTATGATCCCTACCCACAAAATATCAGCAATTCCTTTGGAGGACCACCAAGTTTCCAGCACTTCCCTTTTCCACCACCAGCATACCATGGAGGTTACCACGAAAATGGTCCAGCATCTCCAATTGGATCGATGCCCTTCTTTGGAAGTGGTGGCAGCAACTCCAGGGGTGATGAGAGCAGCCCCATTGCTTCATCTTCTCCGGCGTCCAGAGCCCCTCCAATGCAGTCAGCACCTGTTCAAATTCAAGAAGGCAGTGAGAGCAGCACAGATGAAGGTGAAAAGCAAGGAGGTCGCAAGCTTTGGCGTGAAGAGGAAAACCTACGCCTAGTAAGTGCCTGGCTCAAGAATTCTAATGATCCAATGATGGCAATGGAAAGCCTCGAGATCGATTCTGGAAGGAAATCGCAGCTGAGTACAACAAGAATGCTCCCAAGCAGCAAAGAAGAACAGCAATGCAGTGCAAAGAACACTGGCACAAGAATATGCCTCTCATTAACAAGTTCAATGGAGTCTACAATGATGTCAAGAATAAAAATGCTAGTGGTCAATCTGATGATCAGCTTATGGAGGAGGTTCGGGCAAAGTGGAAGGGACTTACGAAAAAGAAACGACCATTCCCATTGGAACATTGGTGGGCAGCGTTGAAGGACCAACCTAAATGGGCTAGAGCTTACCCAGCACATGAATTGCAAAAGAGGATTAAGCTGAATTCATCTGGTGCTTACAGCTCTTCTTCGGCTCAAGACACAGATGGTGCATCTGTTGAATCGCGGCGACCACAAGGGAGAGATGCAGCCAAATCTGAGAAGAAGAAAGGAAAATAGAAGTGTTCAGAAGGAAGTCTTTTTACAGAGGAAAGCATGCAGAAGTTCAATGAACTACAGCTACGGAAGTCTATGGCTGCTGAAAAAATGGCTGAAGCAGCATTAGCTCAAGCTGCAGTTTACTTTAGGAAGACATAAACAAGTCTTGGATTTGCTAGCTAAAGAGCTTTTCCCTTGAAAAGCTCGGTTTGTAGAAGTAGCCTTCAATATTTGTATTGTGTTGGTAGAAGTAGCTTATCATGTAATGCTGTGACCAGCTTTTCCCTATATATGTATTGTCCTATTATGTCAATTTATAATCTATTTATGAAGGACATTGGAATCTGAATATCACTTTTGTTAAAGCACATTGTCCTCACATGTACAGTTATTCCACTGGAATCTAGCCGATGTAAAAAGCTGCAGTTCTAGTTACAGTGTTGGAATCTAGCTGTTGCAGCACATTTGGATCTAGCCGTTGGAAACTAGTTGTTGTGACCAGCTTTTCCTATAAATAGAAGGTGGTGTTCTCAGAACACTTCACACCTCCCAGCATACTCTAATCTAGGGGCTAAAGGAATGGCATCAAATACACAAGATCCTGCAGGAAGTTGTCCTGAAGAACCAGCAAATAGGATTAACATCCAGCAGTTCTTTTGGGAGTTCATGGATGATCCAGTGGAAGCTCAGATTGAGGCAAAGTTTCAAAGTCAGGTTGAGGCTCAACTAGGAGGTATGTGCAATGACCATCGTCAATTTCCTAGAAGGCGTATAGAAAGAAATCGGGAAGCTGCTAGTGATAGGCTGGTTGCAGATTATTTCTTAGAAAATCCAGTGTACAATGATGTTCAGTTCCGGCGTAGGTACCGTATGAAACGTCACCTATTCCTACAAATTGTACATACCTTAGGTTCTTGGTCTCCATATTTCTGTCAAAGGAACGATGCATTTGGGAAGATGGGATTTTCACCATTGCATAAATGCACAGTTGCTATGCGCATGTTAGCATATGGTACACCTGCTGACATGTGGGATGAAAATTTCAGAATAGGAGAAACCACAATTATTGAGTGCATGAAAAAATTCTGTCAAGGTGTGATTGCAAATTTTGGTGAAAAATACCTAAGGAGGCCAACTAGAGAAGATATTCAACGTTTACTTCATATAGGTGAAGCTCGTGGTTTTCTGGTATGTTGGGGAGTCTAGATTGCATGCATTGGCAATGGAGGAGTTGTCCAAAGGCATGGAGAGGGCAGTATACCCGCGGTGACATAAAACATCCTAGTGTCATGCTAGAAGTTGTTGCCTCACATGATCTTTGGATATGGCATACATTTTTTGGTGTTGCTGGGTCCAACAATGACATCAATGTCCTAAACCGGTCACCTTTGTTCACTGAAGTACTTGAAGGAAGAGCCTCAGAAGTTCATTTCACGGTCAATGGAACTGGGTACAACATGGGGTATTACCTAGCAGATGGTATTTATCCCGAGTAGGCAACATTTGTAAAAACAATACCCTTGCCTCAGTGTGAGAAAGACAAATTATATGCAGAGCATCAAGAGGGAGCAAGAAAAGACGTGGAACGTGCATTTGGTGTTTTGCAAGCTCACTTTGCTATTATGCGCAACCCATCACGTATGTGGCAAATGAACTCACTTGCTGAAATCATGTATGCATGTATTATACTGCATAACATGATTGTGGAGGATGAGAGGGATACTTTTAGAGTTCGCTTTGACGACAACTATGAGAGTGAATATGACCAGCCTAGCTCTTCATCCACATTGGCTGGATTTGGACACGGGCCTATTCATGGATTTTCAACACTACTGGAGGTAGAAGAAGACATTAGAAACCGAGATATGCATCGTCAGCTAAAAGAGGACTTAGTTGAGCATATATGGCAACGATTTGGACAAAATCAAGCTTAGTATATTATGTAATTTCTACTTGTAATGTTTGTATTATCATGCATCATTCGACATTAGATGTACCAACTTATCATGTGTGTAATAAACTAAATTCTCATGTGTGTAATTTCTAGTTGTAATGTTTACTTCATATTTGATTCAAAACTTCCAGCACCATCCATCGCAAAAAATTCTAGTTGTAATGTTTACTTCCAGCATCATCCATCGCAAAAAAATTCTAATTGTATTTGACATTAGATGTACCACCTCTGCTTGTGCACTTCATATTTCCAATATCACAAGAATTATAGATAGCATGGCAATAAAGAAAAAAAAGAGTTACAGCAAGAAAAGGATTAGTTGATGGAGCTAGCACGCACCTAGAGCTGAGCTCGGTTGACTGTGGGTCAAGGCGAAGCAGCGTCCAAAGCTGGGGCCGTCGATCCCCGTGACTTGGCTGGCCGCCGCCGGCGCGATTGATGGGGGTCGGCCCTTGCGGTGTGCCTTACGGCGGTCGCCGCGGTGTGGCTGGATGCGCCCCGTCGTGTGCTTGCCCGCGACCCCCGCGGCATGCTGGAGGCAGCCCCGTGGTTGGATGTGCCCGGTCGTGTGCCTGCCCGCGACCCCCGCGGCGTGCTGGAGGCAGCCCCGCGGCATGGCTGGAGGCGCCGCCGCAGTGAGGCTGATGCCGGCCCCTGCGGCATGGCGGGCGGCCGGATCGACGACGACGGCTGCTGACACCATCTCACGGTGCTGAGATGCCCTGAATCTTGAACGAGAAGTGGCGACCAGATCCTCCAAAGATAAGTGCTATGGAACCACGATTTTGAGGAGAGCTTTGATTTGGGGATGGAGAGATCGATTTTTGTGGTTTCTGCAGCCTAATTTAGCGGGGATGGAGAGATCGATCGGGGAGGCTTTGGGCGGAGACGAAGGGGAAAAGTCCCTGGCGCGTGAAAGGATAGAGAAAGAAGAGGCTGGTTCTGTGGGTGGGGTCCAGGCACAGTGAATCGTCGATGCCCACGCTGTGGAAAATATTTGGAGTTGAGGCATCGAAACGTACGGGGGGCTGAATTTTTTTTCAAGCAACGACAACGCTCTGGTCAGTCTTAGAGTGTCTCCGATGGTTGTCCCCGCATGGGCACCCATACCTAAAATATGCTAGACCCATTTTGAGTTACAGTAAATGTATAATCTAAATATAAGTATCTTTATTTCTGAAGACTCATTTGTAAAAAGAATTTTCTTTTAAGTCCTGTTGTTTGAGAAGAAAAAAATAGTTATAGAATCCTTTAACGATATCAAACGCGAAATGAGTATTCTATTTTGGGTAATGTCGCTAGAGACAGCCTCAGGGCTCGCAAAATCTGAAGCCGCTGGCGTTTTTTTTTTTTTTCTGCTAGCCTGCTACTACCCCTGTCTGCTGTGGACGATGATGGGACTCGGAAAGCGCAGCACCTTTTTGCACTGTCCTCCGGCGGGTTCACAGGACGACGGACCTGCTGCAGTTTCCCCCTTCCATCCTGCCTGATTTCACTGTGGGGAAAAGCAAAAAACCGAAAGCTAGGCTAGCCTATGTGGCGTGGCGCCGTGTTCGGTGAAGCAAAAGCGAGAACATCATCCGGAGCCTGGAAGAACCAAGCACCGAGTGACAGCGATGCAGATGCAGGTGCTCACGCGATCGAGCCACCGAGCTGATGGAGGCTTCCGGGCATCAACTTGGGCGGGCATTGTATTGCAATTGCTTGAGGAATTCATCTTGCGAAGTAATGTAATCGATCACCCGCACATTAATTCCTTATTTGATACCAGACAAATGACCCGTTCCTTTCTTAGTCCTCAAAAAATTTTCGTTCCCTATCTGACACCGAGTTCAACTTTCATTCCTTATACGACACTCCATTGGATTTCCATCCGTGAACCGTTAACTGTTACGTGAAAAGACGATTTTTGTCCTTGTGGGCCACACCACCCTTCTCCCTCCTCTCCTCCCTCGACCCGCCCGACGCTGAAGCCCGGACCCTGCCGCCGCCGCCGGCTGCCACCCCGCCGGCGCCCTTCTCCCCCTCCCCCTCCACCTCCCCCACCGTTCCCGCTGAAGCCAGCTCGCAGTTTCGTGACGAACGGACCGAGGTGGCCAACCCTAGCCCGGCGGCCCCGATCTCCCCAACGCCGCCGTCGGCGGCGGCGCCGGCCGGCACCGGCGCCCCTCCCTCCCTTCCCCTTCACCTCCCCCAACCCCTCCGCTGTTGCCTCGTCGCGAGTCTCCTCCCCGTCCCCGTCCCCGTCCCCGCCACCGCCACCGCCGCCACCGGGTGCCGCCGCCGTGGCCACCGCATCCGCGGCCGTGGTCACCCCAGGGAAGTGCGTGAGTGCCGGATCTGGAGGGTACGCGTCCACAGCGGCGCCTTCGACGTAGCGGCCAACGAGGCCATCTCGGCCACCTTCGGCGGATGCCGGCGCGGATGCCAGCGGCCAAGCGGACGGCGGGCCCTTCGCGCAGCAATCACCGACGGCCATGGCGGCTCCCGCGGCGCCCTGCACGCCGCTGCTGCAGCAGACGGCGCCGAGAAGCCTCGGCGGAGATGGACCTCGAGCCGTGCGGCCCTCTTCTGGGTCCGCGTCCTCTAAGGTCGCCCTTACGTCTGCCAACGACACCGAGAGAGAGAGAGGGACCTTATACGGGCACGGAGCCACAGACACGTCGGGAGAAAGGGAGGAGATGAGGGAGAAGGGTGGTGGGGCCCACAGGGGCAAAATCGTTTTTTCACATGGCAGTTAACGGTTCACGGATGGAAAATCCAACGGAGTGTCGTATAAGGAATGAAAGTTGAACTCGGTATCAAATAGGGAACGGAAATTTTTTAAGGGCCAAGAAAGGAACAGATCATTTGTCTGGTGTCAAATAAGGAATTATCTCTTATATTATTTAGCACGCTGCACGCACCTTTGATTTGATTTGACTTGATTTTGAGATCTGATTTGATGCATGCATTTCTACCTTGTTTTGTTGAGACAGTAGAAAAGCATACACGGTTACAGTTGGTTGGTTTCAGTGGACCGATAAGTATGTGAGAGAATCGTAACGAAACAATTTCTACCGATTTGTTCTCTTGAAATATATAGGAACAGGCTGAGTAGAAAAACATACACGGAGTACAGTAGGTGTTCCAGTGGACGAAGTACGTATGTAACGAATCGTAACGAAACAAATATTTTTTGTTCTCTTATATATATAGGAGTATGTTGCAAACAAATGGGTGGAACGTATAACTACGGGCATCAATGTTGCAATATATTGTACTACGTTCTTATGAGAACAGAGAACTCGTGTTTTTTTTTATCATCAGAGAACTCGTGTTTTAGGTATGCTGCTACCGTCAACTGAAATAAAACTGCTGAAATTCGATGAATTATTATCAGGCGCGACATAGCTAGCCCTAATTAATGCGGTCCATTTCATTCATGCGTAAAGCCTGGCGCTACTAGTTAAACGGTGGATCGTCCTCTTCCTCTCCTCCTGGTCGCCATCTATCATCTATCCTGATCCCACCACCCGCTCTAAGCAGTGGAGTTTTTTTTTTATTAATTAGCTAGCGAAGTAATAATAATCAGATAGGGAAGGACACGCTTGCTGTTGCTTGTTGAGAAATGCCGGACGACGCGAATCGCAACCGGCTGACGACGGAAACCAGCAGGGCCTGTGCCGCGCGCCCTGGCATGTAAATGAAAACGGAACGGAATTCCGCGCAATTTTAAGGACATGTGTGAATGATTTGAAGGACAGGTGAACGGGGCCAATAATCAGATAGGGAAGGCCAACACGCTTGCTGTTGCTTGTTGACAAGATGCCGGACGACGCGCGCATCATCAGTCGCAACCGGCTGACGACGGAAGACCAGCAGGGCCTGTGCCGCGCGCCCTGGCATGGCATCACCGCGCTCCGTTGCTGCCTTGCTGGTGTTGCGGTGCGGCAAGCAATCTATGCATGACAGTTTCCTTGCTCTGCTGCTGCAATCCTGGCCGGGGGGTTGAGCCCTTGATGACCATCCATCTATACGTCTATCTGCGGCAATGCCGCATGAAGACCAATAATTTTAACTCGGAGATGAGAATGAGATGACCAGCTGAGGCCAGAGCACTGCCTGCCTGAAATAGTGAAATGGCTGTTGAGCACTGCAATTATTGGCTCATGATAGACATAGGGGGTTGAGCGGCTTGATGACCATCCATCTAAGTCTATCTGCGGCAATGCCGCATGAAGACCAATAATTTTAACTCGGAGATGAGAATGAGAGATGACCAGCTGAGGCCAGAGCACTGCCTGCCTGAAATAGTGAAATGGCTGTTGAGCACTGCAATTATTGGCTCATGATAGACATAGACGACGACGGTCGACGGTGGTGGTTCGGGGCGCGGCAGAAACAATCTGATCGATGGTGCGGCCCACAAACGAACCGCCGATCGAACCCGGTTTTGTACATGGCCGTGGCGTGAACGCATCGCTAATCCCCTCTGAGAACATTCATCGGCCATGCGTTTAATCTCCCGCCGTCCAATGTTGGCACCGCACCCAGTCAGCATCAACTACTGTATCATCTGTGTTTGCCAACACACTACTGATGGGGTAATACGTATGTGTACGGTGTGCCCATGGATGGACGGCAATTAACTGCAGTTGCAGTCCCTGACGGTTGGTTGCCTGCATTCCTGGTACGGTTGTGCACTCTCATGTGTTGTTCGTCATAATAAATTAATAATTAATAACCAAGCTGTTGCCCGCAAGCAACGTCATCCTCTTCCTTGCGTTGATCCTTCGTTCCATGCAGCAAAGCATCTCCATCGCTACTATATAAGGACCTCCTCATCCCCATGGCTACCACACCTCATCACAAACACAAAGACAGCCAGCCAGCCAGCCGTGGATCATAGCATCAGATCAGCAGCTTAGCTTAGTACTGTTCCATCCATTCGAGCTAGAGAAGCTAGCTAGCTACCAGTGTGCGTTGTGAGCCAGGCACGCAGATGGCGAGAGCGGTGGCGCTCGCGGCCGTCCTGATGCTGGCGGCGGCGCTGCTGGCCGCGGCGCCGGCGCCGGCGGCCGCGGTCGAGTTCGGGGCGGAGGACCTGGCATCGGAGGAGGCGCTGTGGGCGCTGTACGAGCGCTGGCGGGGCCGCCACGCGGTGGCGCGGGACCTGGGCGACAAGGCGCGCCGCTTCAATGTGTTCAAGGAGAACGTGCGCCTCATCCACGAGTTCAACCAGCGGGACGAGCCGTACAAGCTCCGCCTCAACCGCTTCGGCGACATGACCTCCGACGAGTTCCGCCGCCACTACGCGGGGTCCAGGGTCGCGCACCACCGCATGTTCCGCGGCGACAGGCAGGGCGGTGCGTCGTCATTCATGTACGCCGGCGCGCGCGACCTGCCCACCTCCGTCGACTGGAGGCAGAAGGGCGCCGTCACCGACGTCAAGGACCAGGGGCAGTGCGGTACGTACGTGTTTAGATGTCGTTGTCAACAAAGCTAGCAATCGTAATGCATGCCAACGCCAACGCCAACGCCAATGCAATCGCAGGTAGCTGCTGGGCGTTCTCGACGATCGCCGCTGTGGAGGGGATCAACGCGATCAAGACCAAGAACCTGACGTCGCTGTCGGAGCAGCAGCTGGTGGACTGCGACACCAAGGCCAACGCGGGCTGCGACGGCGGCCTCATGGACTACGCGTTCCAGTACATCGCCAAGCACGGCGGGGTGGCGGCGGAGGACGCGTACCCGTACAAGGCGCGGCAGGCGTCGTGCAAGAAGTCGCCGGCGCCGGTCGTCACCATCGACGGGTACGAGGACGTGCCGGCCAACGACGAGTCGGCGCTCAAGAAGGCGGTGGCGCACCAGCCGGTGTCGGTGGCCATCGAGGCCAGCGGCTCGCACTTCCAGTTCTACTCGGAGGGGGTGTTCGCGGGGAGGTGCGGGACGGAGCTGGACCACGGCGTCACGGCGGTCGGGTACGGCGTGACCGCGGATGGGACGAAGTACTGGGTGGTGAAGAACTCGTGGGGCCCCGAGTGGGGGGAGAAGGGCTACATCCGCATGGCGCGCGACGTGGCCGCCAAGGAGGGACACTGCGGCATCGCCATGGAGGCGTCCTACCCCGTCAAGACCTCGCCCAACCCCAAGGTCCGCGCCGTCGTCGACGGCGACAGCCACGACGAGCTCTGAATTGCGCACTACACTACACTACGTACTAGCTATAAGCCTATAGCTATACTATGATCGATCGATGTATGCTCGGACAGAACATCGCGGACCGTGAATGTCCGAATGGCATACGCACATCATACACCGTACATTCATGTAATACCAATCAGCTTTCGTTTCATTCAGTTATTATTATATTGACCTATAAACATGACTATGTATGCATTGATTAAGACTTTGAAGCATCAACTTTGCTATTATATAGGAGTATACAAAACTGCCTGATACAGTATGATGATTGCTTCACTAGAAAAATAATTAGATGTGACTACTAGCATCATGGGCCACCATAAAAAGTTTAAATGGGCTTCCTTGGGCTGGGCCGATCCATCCTCCAGGGCGCCTCCATCCCCATGTGCTATTCGCCTTGTTCGTTTGGGCTGGTTTGGCTTATAAGCCATTACTGAAAGTACTATTGACTGATTTGGTGTGAGAGAAAAATACCGTTTTTGGACTGATAAGGCATAGTACGACCCAACGAACAACAGCGTCTCTCTCTCCGGTGGTCCAGTCACCCTCCAGGGCAGTCTCCAGTGCGGGCGGCGGCAGTGAGCGGACTCGCTCTGTCCCCTCGTCCAACGGTCCGAAGGAGACTCCAAGCTCCAGTCCCCCAAAGGTTTGAGGCAGCCGTCGCCATGGAGATGGAGGTACTCCGCTGCTCCATCCTCTCTTGCATACATGAATCTTGACAGGGGAGAAGAGACGGATAGGATGGAGGATCCCCTGGCGGCCTAGCCAGGTGCACTACCGCCGGTACCTTCCTCCTCCGAGGCTCCGAGCAGAGCAACAGAGGAAACAAGAATGGCCATGCCCACCTTCCAACTTGCTCCTGACCTGCCGCCCGTCTCCCGCCTCTGCTTCGGTTCGAGCTCAAACTCCCCCTTTTTCTCTCTGGTGGACTGTGCTCTTTCTCTCCCGGGTGGACCGTGCTGAATGACTCCTGCTTGTGCGTGTGCGCAATTCTTGCAGGGACAATGGCGATGGGAGAGCAGAGCGGGGCGGCGTGCTCGCTGCGCCTCCTCGACGCCGGCGTCAACTTCTTCGACTCCGCCGAGACGTAGGCGGGCTTTTTGAATTCGACCCTAACGGAAAGTGGGCTTCGTTGATCTGCTATCATGTAATGGGGCTTCGCCATCTAGCCATTACGAAACGTGACCTATCTGCGAGAATGCCATCCGATGACCTTCTACCCCTGTCCCTTTCCTCTTTCTTTCCCCGGTGCTCGCACGAACGGAACGTAGGGGTGTAGAAACGGATCGAGCTTGGCTACTGCTTCTTCTCCAAGCACCGAGCGAGCCCCCCACGACGAGCACCTCCCACCCAGCGAGCCCCCACGCCCTGAGTGACCAACACCCCCACCCATCGTGGGTGGGGCACTGGACGCTGGAGGCGTGGGGGGTTTGTCGTGGGTGGGTGGGGGGTGCTCGCCATGAGGGGCTCGCTGCCGCCAAACTCGATCTGTCTCTACTGTTAGTGAATATGGTCTAGAATGTTCAGTTGTCGTAATCTCCTTTGCATGCGCAACTAACCTGGACTTGTTCACGGTGGTGGAGATAGAGTTTAGGAGTTTGTTGTAACAGAACAAATCTTCACCACCGGCTCTCCATATAGTTCGATTCATGCACCCCTATGTAAAAGCCACGGCCAGGGCTATTCTGGCCATTGTGATTAACACGTAAAACGTCAACCCAAGTTTGGGCTCTGACGGTTCCACCTTCCAAGCCCTCTGATTATTTCACATGGTATCAGAGCCACAAAACAGTAGATTGAATCTATAAGATCGCCGTCTTCAAGCTCTGCCATGGCAAGCTCCTCCTTGACAAATGACAAGAATCCTCTTGGAGGGCATGTCGTGTCAGAGAAGCTGACGAAGACAAACTATGCATCATGGAAAGCCCAAGTGTGCACTGCTGTGAGGGGTGCACAGCTTCGGGGGTTCCTCACGGGCGACGCCAAGGCTCCTGCTCAACAAATTATCGTCAAGGAAGATGGCAAAGAGGAGAAGAGGCCCAATCCTGAGTTCACGCAATGGGACACCCAAGACCAACAGGTGCTTAGTTTCATTTTGTCGAACCTCTCTCCTGCCATCCTATCCCAGGTCAACGCCAGCGAAACAGCAAGCGAGGCCTGGAGGATCATCGAAGGGATTTTTGCGTTGTAGTCCCGAGCGAGGGCTGTGAACGTGCGCATGGCGCTCTCATCCACCAAGAAAGGCAGCATGACTGCCACAGAGTACTTCACCAAGATGAAGAACCTCGGCGATGAGATGGCTGCTGCAGGACGGCCACTCAAAGACGACGAGATCGTTGAGTACATCCTCGCCGGGCTAGATGAAGATTTCACCCCGTTCGTCTCTTCCCTATTAACTAGGGTTGAGCTGTTATCACTTGATGATCTATTCTCGCAGCTCCTTGCATTCGAGACCCATCTCGAACTCATCCATGGTGGACGACAGAACCACGGCGGCTCAGTAAATTACTCGGGCCGTGGGCGTGGCGGCTCACGTGGTCGCTCTTCAAGTCGAGGGCGCGGCCGTGGGCAAGCCAGAGGAGATGGCAGCTCGGGCTTCAACCAGAACAGCCGTCAAGGCGGCAACGGTGGCCGTGGTGGTGACTACAACCATGGGAACAGCAGCGGCTACAATCAGCACGGCTCGTACAACTACAACGATGACAAGCCACTCTGCCAAGTGTGCTTCAAACTGAACCACACTGCTGCAGAATGTTGGCATCGGTTTGAGGAAGACTTCGTCCCCGATAAACGCCTAGTTGCTGCTGCCAATCGTAGATCAGGCGCTGACTCTCCGTGGTACATAGACACGGGCGCTTCTGATCTTGTCACCGGGGAGCTTGAGAAGCTGCACATCCGCGACAAGTACTACGGTACAGATCAAATCCACACGGCAAGTGGTTCAGGTATGAGCATTAGTCATATTGGGCATGCTACTGTTCACACCCCTAGTAATTGTGATATTCATCTACGAAATATTCTTTATGTTCCAGAAGCAGACAAAAATTTGATATCAGTTCATCGTCTTGCTACTGATAATAATGCTTTTCTTGAGTTTCACCCAAACTATTTTTTGGTAAAGGATCAGGACACGAAGAAGGTCATTCTTGAAGGGAAGTGTCACAATGGCCTTTACCCCTTTCCCACATAATCCAATAAAGAAGTCCATGTAGCTACCAGAGTTTCCTTTGATCGGTGGCATAATCGTTTGGGTCATCCTTCGTCAGTTGTAGTCAAGCAAGTTATCAGTAGAAATAAACTCCCTTGTTTAGGTGAGGCATCTAGCACTTCAGTTTGTGATGCCTGTCAGCAGGCAAAGAGTCATCAACTTCCCTACTCCAGATCCAACAGCAAATCCAAATTTCCTTTAGAACTTATTTTCTCCGATGTCTGGGGTCCAGCTGTTGAATCTGTAGGGAGATATTGCTACTATGTAAGTTTTATTGATGATTTTAGTAAGTTTACTTGGGTCTATCTTATCAAGCACAAGTCTGAAGTGTTGCGTAAATTTCAAGATTTTCAGGCTATGGTAGAACGACAATTTAATAGAAGCATCCTCACTGTCCAAAGTGACTGGGGAGGAGAATATGAGAGGCTTAGTTCGTTCTTCACTAAAATTGGCATTGTTCATCACGTCTCCTGTCCACATACACACCAACAAAATGGTGATGCGGAACGAAAACATCGACACATAGTTGAAGTTGGTCTCTCACTTCTTGCACATGCATCCATGCCTTTGAAATATTGGGATGAGGCGTTTATTGCTGCTGTTCATCTTATCAATCGTATACCTAGCCGTGTCATTCAATTCAGCACTCCCCTTGAACGTCTATTTAACGAGAAACCTGATTATGCATCAATGCGCACGTTTGGGTGTGCATGTTGGCCTCACCTAAGACCCTATAATAATAGCAAACTCCAATTCCGATCCAAGCAATGTGTTTACCTTGGATTCAAAGACACATCACAAAGGGTTTAAGTGCCTAGATGTAGCTTCGGGACGCATCTATATTTCCCGAGATGTGATCTTTGATGAGACGGTATATCCATTCTCCAATCTTAATCCTAACTTATTTGGTGCTCGGTTGCGTGGTGATGTAATACTGACTTCCTCCAAAAGTTTGGGTCCCTAGTACTTTCTTTAGGGGTGAATCGGTGGCTAACCCAAATACTAATGACTCATCTAACCACAATGTTGAGCCATGTGTGCAAAGCAGGAAGAAATTTCGGTTGAAAATGGTGCAGAAATGGATCAGGAGAGCCCATGTACGCAAAGACAAACAATGATTACTTGGCAGGTGTGGAGCACGCGGATGGGGCAGCCCAAGACTCAACAGAGAGCACGATCACGGCCGGGATCCGCGCGCCCAACCCGGCATCGAAGCGTGCTCGCACCTAGGGCGCCCTGCTGCGATAGTGGGGACACGGTTTCTGCCCGCCATTGCTGCAGTACTGCGCCACATCCAAGTTTGGGATCTCTCTGCGCAACTTGGAGGCAATCAAGGCACCACTTCGAACATCCTACGCCTATGCCAAGAACAAGATTGCAACATGGCGTTCGCCGTCCTAAAATTTACATCGATGGAGCTGTCAAGTATGGACTTTTCTCCGATTACCGTGAGCCAAACAACTTAGATGATGCGCTGGCCAATCATAATTGGAAACAAGCCATGCAAGTAGAATATAATGCTCTCATGAAAAATAATACTTGGCATTTGGTTCCTCCACAAAAAGGTATGAACATAATTGGATGTAAGTGGGTTTACAAAATTAAAAGAAAGGCAGATGGCGATCTGGATAGATACAAGGCGAGACTGGTAGCAAAAGGCTTTAAACAACAATATGGTATTGATTATGAAGATACATTTAGTCCTGTGGTAAAAGCAGTAACAATAAGGATTGTCTTGTCTCTTCTTTGTTTCTCGTGGCTGGAGTTTGAGGCAGCTTGATGT